CCCTTCTCCTCATATATTTCCCCAAAACAACTCATTTGGATACTGTTGGAAGAAAACAGTCTCCCCGTTCTGCCTTCTCCACTTGACTTAGGCTGTGGGGAAAAGGTATCAGGGTCTGTTTCTTGTTACGAATAATATCTTGGCTTGTTTTGGGGCCCAGAGTTTGCTACTTCATAAAAATACAATATCTAACTGGCAAATCTCTGGACGAATTCCTCCAAGTTCCTGGAAAGTGAAGGCTTCTACCTAAAACATAGAACAGGGGCGCGCGCTTTTTGGCTGAGTCACCAGGGTTTTTCCTTCTACTCAAATGAACATTGGTCTCAGAAAACTCCTTCCAGGTAAGTTGAGTGCCCCATAATGGCTTGTTTGTGAATCATCCCCAGGGCAGAAGATTTCCCTCTGCACTGTTCATTAAAAAATTTGGTTACACTTCACTCTGTTAAAGTCAAATCATTAAATTTCTTTTTGTTTGTTTTCTTTAACAGAAACTTTGATATCAGCTGCCGATCACTCAGTGCAGGTCTGGGGACATATCTACATTGGTGGTCGAAGCAGCTTTCTAGATGATCGAGTTTGCTAGTTTCTGCCCCTCCCAATTAACAATCAGACATTCCTTTGGGGGGCATCTCAGTGGATAAGCATCCCCAGGTAGTCATATTCCTTTTTAGAATGAACAAATTCTGTGGAAGAAACACAATTTTATGCACAATTTTATGCCAGTGCAAGACAGATAGGAAGAAACCTGCATTATAACTGCATGTTCTCTCCCTGAGTCCCCAGCCATATAATATGGATGTCATAACTGCCATTCGAAGGTGAAAATTGGCCCCGCCTTCTCTTTGCTCTCCTTGCTGTCCTTCCATGGATTTTCTGGCAAAATCGATTCCCCAGTACCTTCATTGTTGACAATGTCTGTATTTCCTAATAAGCAAATGCTCCCCGGTATTCATTGTGACCATTTTGCTAATGGATGTACATAATGGGATTGATTGAGGTCCATAATCTGCTGTTTGTCAGACTCCAGTGAAGCCCTAGCTATGAAGATGTGAATGCACATGGTGTGCTGCCCTGTCCTTATCTTAACACAAGCCCTTTTCACCAAGGACCCTAGTTGGGAGACTCGCGCTGCCCCCTGTGAAATCTGCCTTCTCACTTTTTGGTGTGATTCAGGACTTTGGAGTCTGGAAAGATTGAGGAGCCCCCCCTTGCTGTAATAAGAAACAGACATAAACATCTCTTTGCCACTGCTACAACCCACTTCCATTTTTGCTCTCCCTCCCACCCCCTTCCTTTTATTCGAAATTGATGCAGTCTGGGCAATAGATGCAGCCTGACCTGTTGGATGTAATTTTTTGCATCTGCAATTTTGGCCCCTTTAAGTCCTGTGAAGGGACAAAAAGTGTTGGAGGACCTGAAACATTTACGTGAACCCAGGTTCTCAGGCGCTTGACGGCCAAATAGGCTACAGAGAAGCATCTAAGCCAGTTCACAGAGAGCGTGTGTGGGGACTTCTCGCTGCCATGGACCCTTGATGCATGCTCCCCACGCTCCAGTGGTCCCGTGTCAGAGGGCGGAGTTTTCGAAAGGAGGCCGCCAAAAATAAAAGGCAAAGAGACGGGATCGGCTGCAGCGATTTCCCACAGGAGGAGGGAGTGTGCATCGGTCTGGTAACAAAACAGGGAATGTTTCTCATTTTTTTAAAAGAAAAAGTCAATCTGTGTTTTATCTTGGATATATTTTGAATATTCTTTGTAAAATGCAGATTTTTAATGGGTTAATTTTAATGTAATACTGCTTTTGTTTGTCAGTTTTTTTTTATCAAAACAGTACACTAACATTTACTTGTTTTTCTGTCCTCATTTCTGAAAACTCAGATGTTTATGACTTTAAATGTTTGCATCTGGGTTCTCTTTGTTCAGGTTACACTGTAAACAATATGCTAAAATTTTCTCTAAAATGAAAATGGTGGTGTGATCAAATGTTAGTGTGTATTTTTAAAAGGAAGATTAAAATAAGCTAGTTATCTATTTACCCAAACTGGCTATCTTGAGGTATCTTTTGGATATCAGGAAGAGGTAAGTGATCTTGTGTTGCTAGTTTTTGTAGACTTCTCCTAACAGAGTTAAAGTATTCAGCAGTTCTCTCTCTTGCTCACTCTGATTTGCTGCATTTGTAACAAAAACAGCAGTTTGTTCTTTTTGAAATGCTGTTGTGGAGCAAAATTGCCTGAATTATATAAGACAAGGTTTCAAAGATGACAATTTGTGTGTGTGTGGGTGCGTGTGTGTGTTCGTGACATGCATGCAGCAAAAGATGGATGAATTTGCGAGGAATCATGAACTGCTTTGATTCGATATTTGCTTTCTGTGCACAAACTCCTTTTTGTGCACAATTATCTTAGTTTAGCCTTTTGCTCTGTTAGGAAGAGTCTATATTGTCTTTGTATTTTACAAATACTAACTTTTTTCTTTTCTCTTGTTACTGTCACTTGCATTTGTGCTCCCCACCTTCTGTTGGCACATCCTTCCTCCACTGCTCCTCAATTCCTCACTCTGCTTTGATTGCCTTACAAGATGTGGAAGATGTGAAGTTTGTGATAAACTATGACTATCCAAACAGTTCAGAGGATTATGTGCATAGAATTGGCCGTACTGCCCGTAGTACCAACAAAGGCACTGCCTACACATTCTTCACACCAGGAAATCTGAAACAGGCTAGAGAGTTAATAAAAGTTCTAGAAGAAGCCAATCAAGCCATCAATCCAAAACTGATGCAGCTTGTGGACCACAGAGGTGGTGGTGGTGGAGGAGGTAAGAGATTGTAGAGTTTTGGCTGTTTCTGTGTCTTTAAACTAGGTTTGGTTTCCCAGCATGTGATAACATTACATTTGTTAAGAGGCTAAATCAGGGGTGGGCAAACTTTTTGGCTCGGGGGCCGCATTGACTTAAAATTTGACAGACGGGCCGGGTCAGCACAAGATTTTTTGGGAATCGCCCCCCCACCCTTCCCCACCCTCTTCTCCTCCTTCCCCTCCCCTCGGAGGCCCCCTGAGTCAGGAGTTGCTACCACCGGCGCGGCTCCGCGCGGCTCCAGTCCCGCGTTGCCTCGGGAAGGGAAAGGCAAAAAGGAAGAGTGCTTTGCAACGGGAGCAGCGGCACCGGAGGCTCAGGCTCAGCGGCTCCTGGTTTTGCCTTTTCCTTCCCAAGGCAACGCGGGACTGGAGCCGCGCGGAGCTGCGCCGGCGGTAGCAACTCCTGACAGCCCCAGCCGGACACCTGAGCGGAGCCCGGGTGGAACTGCCTGTTGCTGCTGCCGGAGCACCGCCGGGTGTCCTCCTCCAAGCAGCCCGCCCGCCCGCCGGACTTCCCCTCTGCTGCGCGGCTCGGGGCCAGGCGCGAGCGCCCGCGAGTTAAAAGGAAGCCGAAAGTTGCTGGGAAGTTGCTCGGGTGCTGGGAGCAGGCTTTTAAAGTGCCACCCGAGCAAAGTTTAAGCAGCCCGCCCGCCGGGCGGAACCCTTCCCACTCCTCGGCGGGAAGACGCTCCAGCCTGCAAATGTTACCTTTGCAAAGTTTAAGCCTGGAAGCCCCGGAAACCCGAGCAACTTCCCAGCAACTTTCGGCTTCCTTTTAACTCGCAGGCGCTCGCGCCTGGCGGAGGGGAAGCCCGGAGCCTCCTCCAAGCAGCCCGCCCGCCCGCCGGGCTTCCCCTCCGCCGTGCGGCTTGGGGCCAGGCGCGAGCGCCCGCGAGGAAAAAGGAAGCCGCAAGTTGCTGTGAAGTTGCTCAGGTTTCCGGGGCTTCGAGGCTTAAACTTTGCACAGGCAAAGTTTGCAGGCGGGAGCATCTTCCCACCGAGGAGCGGGAAGGGTTCCGCCCAGCGGGCGGGCTGCTTGGAGGAGGCGACCCGGCGGCGCTCTGGGTTTCCCCTCCGCCGCACGGCTCGGGGCCAGGCGCGAGCGCCCGCGAGGAAAAAGGAAGCCAAAAGTTGCTGGGAAGTTGCTCGAGTGCTGGGAGCAGGCTTTTAAAGAGCTGCCTGAGCAAAGTTTAAGCAGCCCACCCACCCGCCGGGCGGAACCCTTCCCACTCCTTGGCGGGAAGACGCTCCAGCCTGCTAACTTTGCCTTTGCAAAGTTTAAGCCTGGAAGCCCCGGAAAAAAAAGGGGGATCGGCGGGGACTCACCTTCGGAGAGGTCGCACTCGAAGGTGATTTCGAACTCCCAGCCAAGGCCTTTGCAAAGTTCTTTTCTTTCCTACCCCGAGAGCGCTCCGCACTGTTTTGCAGCTTTGGGGGCCACGCGGCACAGGGCAATACGCCACACCCAGCAATTTTTTTTCAGGGGCGGGCCGGATTGGACAGACCAACGGGCCGGATGTGGCCCGCGGGCCGTAGTTTGCCCACCCCTGCTCTAAGAAAACAAGTCAGTGCTATCTGCTTTGATATTTTAGAAGTAGTTCAAACCACACACCTAAGTTCAGGTGGAGGGAAGCTTTGATTCACCCTTTTCAGCATTGTAGCCAATTACAGTAATTCATTAATTGTAGGGTGCACAGAATAGAATATACAGGAAAAGAATGAAACAGTATGTTGTTTGTATTTGTTTAAAAGATTAATACAGCTGATGGAAGAAATTATGGCTGAAAAAGAGAATAAGACTATTATCTTTGTGGAAACAAAACGGCGATGTGATGACTTAACACGAAGGATGCGTAGAGATGGGTAAGGTTTGATTTTAACAGTGTTAAATTGGGAAAGACAGATTAATTTTGCACCCCCTCGCCATGTTATAGTAAAGAGGTTTTAGTGAGTTATAATTAAATCCTAAGAAAGCGTAGATGAGACTGACTACTTGAAAAGTTGTCATAGAATGCCATGGTTCATTTAAAATACCAATAGATGTTACAAGGTTCTTATAGCTCATGATAATATAAATGATAAAAAGAAAAAAAGATAGTCCATTCATTGCAACAATTCCTTCAGCGACAATTTGAAGTTATGGCAGCAGTGAATGAGTGGTACTTACATCTGGTCCCTGAAGTTGTGGCTGTTACATTTCCCTGCAATTGCAATATCAGAACTCAGGCACTTGGCAGGACACCCACATTTACAACCGCAGGAGTGCTTCAATTCCCATGCTTGCTTATTCCCCCTCCCCCAATCTCTTGCCCTTTTAGCCACCCTAAACAATGGCACATAGGAGTGAAGGTCCAGGGGCTAAAATAGAGATCCAGAGGCAGTGGTGGCCCACTGAGACTGCTGAAGCTTCAGTCCCAATGATGGTAACACCACTGAGGAATGCTGTTGGGCAGGGTGGCCAAAAGGACAAAGATGGTGGGAAGGAGAGTTGAGAAGAAAGTCCCTTATCTTGCCAAGACTAGGACTTACCAAGCTGGGAATGGCTTGGATTGGGGTGTCTCCTTGCCTAACAATTGGTGGGATTCAGTTAACAGCAACTAGGACTGCTGGGTTGTTGTCCGTAAGCAATGCAATCACATGATGTCACTTCACAGCTGCATAGAGATGGAAATTCCAATCCCAGTTGCTGTTGTAATTTGGGGGGCACAAATAGTACCAGTTTAATACCATTAATTTGAGAGGATGTGGACTTCTTAACATATGCAAGAAAATAACATTTAAAAGATGATAAATAGAAAATTATGGTATTTCTGAAATAACAAAGATTATAATTTGACAATATAAGCAAAGAACATGACATGATTCCCAAAAGTTTTTTGATGTTACCCTAAGATGTAATCATTTAATATACTCTATCCCCAAAAGTGTTCTGCACATTTATTAGCTTTTGTTTAGTTAAGTTACTTGAATTGGTTAAAAAATTCCTCCAGTGCAGAGAAAGTAAAAATACGGATTTCTGTCTTCATTCAGAAAAACCTGTTTCTATGTATGAAAAAGCATCACTTGCTTCAGAAGCATGGTATTGTTTTGAAAAGTAATTTCTCAGTTTTTTGTTTTGATTTCTAAATCAAAATTTTGCACATTCCAAACCAAAAGGTTTTCTTTAAAATTCTTGAAAATTACAGTGAACACTTGGTTTAGTAGTCTGGTTTAATAAACTCTGGATAGCCTGGGCAAATTTTGTGTTAAGGATTCGTCCTAATTGAATAGACTTTACACCCAGAATTACGCAAATGACAATGCAACTCACAAAAATGAATCTTTATGAGACATCTTTAGATTTAATCCCCCAAATGTTTAAATTGAGGTTTTAAAATATTTATATTAATTTATATTATTAATCGGTAAAAAGGTTCATATTTTTTTGAATATGTGATAGCTGAGAATGCTTAAAACTCTTTGTTACAGTTGGCCAGCTATGTGTATTCATGGAGACAAAAGTCAGCCTGAACGAGATTGGGTGCTTAATGGTGAGTTGTAGAAAAAAGATTGTTTCGTTTACCCAGAGAATTGTCAGAATGCTCTGGTTTCTTCAACCAGCTGCTATGTACATTTTTATTGCATAATGTAAACATGAATACTAAAACAGTTTTTAAAATGGTGTTTTTATGAAACAGAGATCAAAATTGGTTTTTTTTTTCTTTCAGAATTTCGTTCTGGAAAGGCTCCTATCCTCATTGCCACGGATGTTGCATCTCGTGGGCTAGGTTTGTACACATGAGCTTCCTGCCTGTCATTTCTTTAGATTGACATTTTTTTCCCCAAAGAATTTTAAAGCGTGACTTTCTCATATATGAAATGCCTTTTTAACATTGATCTTCTTTTTCTTTCATATTCAAAATCTCTTCCTGCTCCTAATGAACAGGCTTTGGTCTGCAGCAAGGCCTAGGCATGACTAATCGATCGCCAATGGGGAGAAGAGACGTCCAATTACTCAATCCAATTCTTCCACTATACCCCATCTTTAATTCCAGCTTTGTGGCTGGGTGGCTAGGACTGAACAGTATTCATTCCATTGTTATTCAGAATTACCAGATGGTAGAACAAGCATCTCTTTAACAATCCTTTTTTGCCCAAATGCATTACTAATGTAATTGCACATTATAACCGGCCCACTTCAGTATCACAATACATAGATTTATATGTGTGAGCATATTTTGCTTTTTTACACATTCTTTTTCACTTTTCTTCCTCAATTGGATTGTTGAGGTTATAGTAAAAACTCTTAAGGGGAGGGTTATAAGGAAAATCCGTCAGCCTTTCAGTATTTTCATCTGGATGTTTAAGCAAACAATTCCATTGCTCTTTATATTTAATGTTCAAATCTCTACTTCTAGTACATTCAGAAAGTAAATTTAAATGGGGTTGTAGATACTTGAAAAACTTTAAAAAGACTTTCCTAAAAGGTTTTCAGTTAATGCCTGGTTCAGTAGACTCAATCAATCTTTTATTAAAAGTAATTTCTCAAATATTTCAGATGTACTTTAAATAGAGGATCAGTTAAAAGCTATTCTTGAAAATGCTGAAAAGACACACTACGTTAGCATTTCTGAAAAATGACAAGTTGCTAGTCTTTTCCTCACATAAAATCCATTCTCCCATGCCATCTCCAAAATTACCCCAATACTACTCTAGTTCATGTGGTTTCAGTCTCTTGTGTTCTGGGGTCATGTCTGGACCTATGCAGGTAGAACTTGGGCCTGTTAGGAGAAGGGGTGAGGC